TGTCTGCTCAGACCGGTGTAGCATGAGTTTTCCTCTACACTTTCAAGGGAGGATCAAATGCACGTGAGAACTGTGAGCTAATTAGCCAACGCTAACCACACTAATTTCGAGGCACTTGAACATGGTTCACCATTAGAAGTTTGAGTACTGATCCCACCGAGTTATTTGCATCGGATCATGATACCTGGAATCTAATGAGCAGACTTGTTGAGGTTACATTGCTTGCTTCCTCTCCAGCCAACGATTCTATTTGTTTGAGACAATTAAAATAATAGTTTTCTCATCCAAAAGAAAATACACTTAGAGATAAAACAGTAAAACGGTTGTGGGGGCCGTTTGTGTAAATCTGCAAGTTGAATCGAAAACACATTAAACGCTAATAGTTTTCCCGTGACTTAAGAATTTTCATGGATAGCTGTAACCAAACTGAGCCAGTCCATTGTTTGTGTTTTGGGTCCGGAATGTGGCCCACGCTGTATCAACTCTGTGGAATGCACAGCAATGTTATGTATCACACAAACGCTACATTGTTTGCTTGAAAGTTGGGAGATCTAGCGTAGTTTTGTCACAATCCGAAACCGTGCACATAAGGTTATTTTGTCAGTGCTGTACAACTATGCGAGATAGCAGAACAGATCAGTCCAGATCACAACTGAATCCCACTGAGCTTCGAAGTTACCTTCGTTACCTTCAACCGACCGTTTCGATCAGTGATTGATTATGTCACATAATACGGTCGATCTACGCAGCTTGATCGCATTGTTCCCCAAATCACCCCATTATAGGAATGAAGGATGACTAGACAGAGCGCATCAGTTGATGTTAGCCTCTATAAGACTTAAAGTGAGTCGCAGAATTGAAGAGCATTTTGGATCCACAACAAAGGTGGTATCTCGTTCACTGGTCAAACTCTGTAAGTATTGTGCCTCCAAAGGAATTTTATCTGAGATTAGTCTTCAATCTTCAATTGCAAACTACTCGAATTCTCCACTATGGACGAAAGCGAACCTTCCCACGTTGTCACATTGTTACCCGTGAAGTTGGAGAGAAAGAACATGCTTAACAGTGCAGTTGTCTTTTTAAGTCTTCGCGCAAATTTAGGAACGTTTGATAGAATTACTGTGAATAAAATTATCAATCCCTTTTTTAGAAAGTTAAAAGAGCGGTTGATTATGTTATACCAGTTTTCCTTCCTGAAAGTCTCATATAAAAATATCCGTTTGGGCTGGATTACAAGCACTCAGTGAGTCCAGTCTAAGTGAATTCCTCTAATCAGTATCCTTATTGGTATATCACTAATGTTATCATCATCCGCATCGTCGTATAGCGAGATACAGTGAAGCGAACATCACTGATCGCTGCCCAGCTCACAATGTACACAAATCAAGTGATAAAGCACAAGATGGGTAGGGATGGGGCCTAATTGGAGGGAGGCAAATTAAGTGAATCTCTACGGTCAACATACAGAGTACACAATCTAAGGGTGCCTACAGAACTTTTCAAACATTCTAACCTGATAAGAACGAACAACAAGAACGCCAACCTTTCGGTTCGCTGCCATAATCTTCAGCGTCTCCAACCAGCCAGTTACAGAATCTTTCGCACACCAACCTTGAAGACGGGAGATACATATTCTACCTAACGTCTCTGTGCACTTCTTCATGCCTCGTTTCCACGTCATCTGTTAACCTCCACGCAGTTTCTTCCAACCTGGAGCCGCAACTGTGAATAGGACGCGGTGAGACAGACGATGGCTGGACGTGCGCAACACATGTCCTAACCAGCGAAACCGACTAATCTGAATTCGATGGGATATTATTAGTGTATATTTTATTATTAGAAGTAGTAGTAGTATATAACATTATATGGGTTGCTGTACTTAATTAGTTGGATTCAAGTTAGAAGCAGCCCTACCACAGTAATACGTACAATACACCAAGTAATCCGTGTGAGTTTTATCTTCACTAAACCAGTGATATAAGGTTTGATATCTTCAACTCTCAGACAAGCAAATTTTCGGCTATTTGAGATTTGTATCTCTGCTGGAAATTCTGGGTTATCCTGAAATGGTCTATCCTCATCACCCAATATGCACTCATTCATTCACTCACTAACTCACCAGATAGACCTTGAATCGCTCCGGTGCAACTGTGTACACTTCTATCACAGATATTTCGTTTACATATGGACGACAAGACCATCAGAGTGGCAATCACCAGCAGGATACTCCCGACCAGACAGAGACTGGCCGCAGTCCAAACCAATGCGTTCGCCGGAGCCGGACGCTCGCCGAATCCGTGCAGTGCGAGCTGACATCGCATGATCTGGTTGGCGCCGGGGGTGCGCCACGTGAAAGACCACTCATTTCGTGACGCTACACAAGACATTTGACAACGCAACCACGGCCCGATAGACGGGGAATCTGAAACACCGCCTCGGGAAGGAATAGTTCGTATCGCGCCGGAGTCGATAGGGAAAACCAAACTGGGATAGAAACTGATTGGACACTCGGTGAATCGACGCGATTCATCCGTTTCAATTCGTCTCAACCACGAGGAAGTGAATAATCCGGTGAGAATAATCACAGTTGAAATAACAGAGAGAATAATCCAAAGTAAAGCAACCCAACTCAGTATGATACGGGGCATGTCGTTGTGGCATAAAGAACAACGCGTACTCAGTCTTTCACCAGTGATAATATTTTCTTATATCACATTCCGGTTCAAAATTCCGAGGATTATTTCCGGTTCAGTGGTGTACTCGATGGAGCTCCTCAGACTTTCCTCACCCATCGAGTTTTGTGCACAGCTGGTTACTTTTTGGTCGTTTCCCCAATGAATGCACTTGTTCACACAGCTTAGAAACCCCCCGGGGGAAGAAACATAGAGAAGCAAAACGCTACAAGGCAAAACGTTAAAACACACACATTGTGATTTTTAAACTAATCAACCGACTATCCAACCAACCAACCATTAGTCACCTGGTCAAACAACCAATCAGAATGCAGCCAGATTGTAGACAGTGAACATCACCCGCTCTCTCTCTCTCGCTATCTAGGGGCACTTTCGACATGCTGTCCCATTCACTGGGTTGATAGCATTTTGCTGACTGGACAGGCACGCATAGTTCACCATGCGTAAACCATAACACTCGGGATGTGCATGAAGGCTGTAAAATGGGAATTGTGCT